TCACATATAAGTAATTAGTTAGCACAAACTTTTAATCTATGTACCAAGTTTCATAAAAATCTGAGTGGTTGAGATATTGGTGGAAAAGTTAAATATTGGCTAATTAGATCTGTGCATTATCCCAAGGCATCCATGTACAAAGTTTTATTGAAATCTGTGAAATAGTACACAAGAAAAAGTGAAAAGGCTTAAAATTGGTTAATTAATATGCATATTAGGTAAATAATAAGCACAGATTTCAACCCAAAACTAATCAGATCTGTGAATTCATTGAAAATGTTTAAAAGCATGCGAGAAATAAGTGAAAATGATTAAAATTGGCTAATTAATTTGAAAATTCTGTAATTCATATGCACGGACTTAAACCAAAAACTAATCAGGTCTGAGCATTTTATTAAAATCTGATATTTGGTTTTGAGATATCAGTGGAACACACTCACAGATACACACTAACCTCAAAGACTCCCATAATTTGCGTGCTTTGCACACAGGATTAAATGTTGTGGAATCTCATTTGTAAATAAAAATATGAATTTCTAGTAATGGTTTATATGCAAGTATATATTAATTTATTGGCATGACTTGAACTTCTCACTGACAAATGGTGAGAATTTTCAGAGGTCAACATAAATTCGTGAGAAATTCTACATGGCAGAAATTAACAAATTATCACCAACAAAGATGAGAATTAAACATGAAGTCATGCCAAACTGTGAGAAGTGGTTGCTTTGCACACTGGTTGACCAATGACAATCTAGATGGTTCATGTCTTGTGGTGTTTTATGCAATTTACAAAACATAATGATCATGAACATGTCAGCTATATTCAAATTTAATTTGTGCGAAACAGCAGCTGTAGTCCATACACTTAAAACTAACATATGCAAATTGACAACAGAAATAGAATTTTTACCCTTAAAAGCCAATTAATTAATTAATTAATTAACAGGAATATCTAACCACTTTTTCCTGGTATTTTTCACTAGCCAACTTTTGATTGAGATGATTGTCTTCAAAATGAAACTTGCATGACACAAAACATTCAAGGGTGGGAAGACAGCGTTTGGTTTGATTGAGATGATTGTCTTCAAAATGAAACTTGCATGACACAAAACATTCAAGGGTGGGAAGACAGCGTTTGGTTTGATTGAGATGATTGTCTTCAAAATGAAACTTGCATGACACAAAACATTCAAGGGTGGGAAGACAGCGTTCATGTACAATTGACATAGAACTCATACTTTTATTAGTATACATATACCGGTAATTCACAAAAATGTTGATATATCTAAGTTTCAAAATGTAAAAATATAGGAGGTTAATTTTGGCATGGATTTCTGTTCTATAGTACTAACTATCAAAATATTATGGTATCATGCACTCAGAAATTGTACCTGTGGGGAAATAAAAAATATATTACACTGCATGAAGTGACATTTAAACTCACCATTTTGACAAACAGATCCCATCCATCCTGGAGCACAGGTGCATGTATATGAATTGGCACCAGTATCTGTACACACACCATTATTAAAACAAGGGCGAGAAGCACAGTCATCATCGTCTGAAATAGTAATTTAGTACAGACAGACAGACATGTTAACCTATAAAACAAATCTCCCCTTCCATTGAGAATCCCATGCACATTCCAGTATCCTTCGCATTGTGGTGAACGAGAGAAGTACTGGTAATGATCAGTGCACAAACGTTCAACCACACTTTCAAGTGTTCAATTAGAACAAGATCACTCACTGTAAACTGTAAATCACTTTCATTTTGCAAAACAAATCTTCAGTGGAAATTGATAGCAGAGAGAATTATACTCGGGTTCTAGATGGAGTTGCAGCAGAGTTGAGTGAAATCTATTGCAATTCTTGAGAATGTGTTGAGGACAATACGTTAGAGAACCAACACACTATAGGTGATTCAATTTCTATTTCAAATTATTAAAAAATGCTTACAACTCCTGAGAAGATATCGAAATGATTATATAAAAATGCAAAACCTACACTCACTAATACAAATTAAAAAAAAATACACAAATTATACGGAATACTCTAATAATAATAATAATAATAATAAAACAACAGGTTAAGTTGGCAGGTGTAGCTGTTTTGGAAAGAAATTAGCCAGTGATATATGGATCATAGCATTTTTGCTTTTCATTAAAATTAGAAACTACTGATTGTTTAAGTTCATAAAATATGTTTATTATCTCTTTAGATTTTGCGCTGTAAGCTATATGGTGATCATGACATTATCAAGTGCTCTTTATTCTCCTTTTCATTCATCAAACATACTTTACATAGGGTTGTTTCGAACTTTTCAACAACACAGCACTGGTCCATTCTTTAGGTGGATGTGTAAAAGTGAACAATGCTACTGACCAAACATAACCCAATGGATTATTGATAAATGAGTTTGGAATTTAATGATATTCTAACAAATGTCAATTGTATGAGGTTGTTTGGAGAATCTACTAGAATATATCAAATAGGCCAGTATGTGTTCATACAGCTATGTACTTCCTGGTTGCATATGATTTGATAATTGTGTAAATAACCTTTAATATTATAAAATCTACAGTTAAATCTCATGGGATAAAGCTCTGCACGTTTGTTAAGTACTTCTCATAGAGACTTGTAAGATAGTTGACATATAAACACAGTAAATTTGTATACCTATTTCACAATTAGTACCAGAGTATCCATATAGACATTCACATCTATAACCAGTAGCTCCCATAGTCATACACTCACCACCATTCAGACATTGCTCAATAAGGCATCCTATACCACCTGTAACCATTGCATAGTGTGAAAAAAAATATTTACAGCATAAACAAATGATACAGTAGTTTATTATAAATGATATTGATCATGTTCAACATTTTAATAATTCAAATTGAAAAACCAAATGACTTTCAGACATTTTTTGCCGAATGGTACAGTTTAAAGACTTTTTTTAATGAAGCCTTTGGAATCATCAGTAGATAATCATTTTTAGATAATACCAATAACAACACATTTCTCCCACAGATAACCAAAACATGAAATTACTGAACTAGTGAGCCAAGTGTACTAGGCAACATACATTGGACACAAGAATTTGTCTTACTTACCACTATCACAGTTTGTACCATAGAATCCTGGTGGACACTCACAATCATATCCACCACTTGGAGCATTGGTACATACTCCATTATTTACACATGGGCTACTAGAACAGCCAGCTAAAAGAAGAGAAGAATGCTATTTTAGGAACAAGGACAATGGAAGGGCAATGCTTCACTAGAGGCAAATGAGAATTCAAAGTAAAGCAACAAAGAATGCAGATTAATCAAAATAATTTCACATATCGTCTCCATTGTGATAACATGCTAACTGATCTCAACTATGTACTGTAAAATCTGTATTACAAGCTGTGACTCCTGTTAAAATGGTAACATGTGGTTTCTAGTAGAACATTTACACAAATGAGAAATCAGAAAATGTGAATTTTTGGTTCAATCTGAATTTTTGTTTAAAAATTTAAAGAATAGATGCTGCTTCTATTAGAGATATCGCTTCTAATAATGAATTTGACATTACCAAATGCAAACTATAACTATGAACTATTGAAATAATGGGTCATTAGAATGTTAGGAGTAAGGCATATTTTATGAAAGTATAGATCATAAGTTTATACTCACATTCTTCACAGGTACTTCCTAAGTAATCAACTGGACAAATACAAACAAACTTATCAACTGAATCAACACAGGTACCACCATTCATGCATGGTGAACTGGCACATTCGTCTATATCTAAAAGAAGAATATAACATTATACATTATCACATCAAGACTGTACTCTTGGACACACTGTGTAAATGTGGAATTGTACATGTGGAATTGTACATGTACAATTGATCCAAGAGAGCAAGAGGTAGAATAAGTGTACATATGAGCATACATGTACAACAGTAAATGCCAGTGAAAGAGTATGTTTTTTGGAGTTGGGCAAGTCAGGAGAAATCTCAAATTATTGTAGTAGTGTAGATTTCCCTGCGGTCAACAATACTGGGAAGTTGCGGAGACTTGTAAGATAGTTGACAAGACTGGTAAGTTGCAGTGACTAGAGAGATAGTTGACAAGACTGGGAAGTTGTAGAGACTTGTGAGATAGTTGACAAGACTGGGAAGTTGTAGAGACTTGTGAGATAGTTGACAAGACTGGGAAGTTGTAGAGACTTGTGAGATAGTTGACAAGACTGGGAAGTTGTAGAGACTTGTGAGATAGTTGACAAGACTGGGAAGTTGTAGAGACTTGTGAGATAGTTGACAAGACTGGGAAGTTGCAGAGACTAGTGAGATAGTTGACAAGACTGGGAAGTTGCAGAGACTAGTAAGATAGTTGACAAGACTGGAAAGTTGCAGAGAGTAGTGAGATAGTTGACAAGACTGGGAAGGTGCAGTGACTAGTGAGATAGTTGACAAGACTGGAAAGTTGCAGAGACTTGTGAGATAGTTGACAAGACTGGAAGTTGCAGAGACTAGTGAGATAGTTGACAAGACTGGGAAGTTGCAGTGAGCTAGTGAGATAGTTGACAAGACAGGAAGTTGTAGAGACTTGTGAGATAGTTGACAAGACTGGGAAGTTGCAGAGACTAGTGAGATAGTTGACAAGACTGGGAAGTTGTAGAGACTTGTGAGATAGTTGACAAGACTGGGAAGTTGCAGAGACTAGTGAGATAGTTGACAAGACTGGGAAGTTGTAGAGACTTGTGAGATAGTTGACAAGACTGGAAAGTTGTAGAGACTTGTGAGATAGTTGACAAGACTAGAAAGTTGCAGAGACTAGTGAGATAGTTGACAAGACTGGGAAGTTGCAGTGACTAGTGAGATAGTTGACAAGACTGGGAAGTTGCAGAGACTAGTGAGATAGTTGACAAGACTGGACAGTTGTAGAGACTTGTGAGATAGTTGACAAGACTGGGAAGTTGCAGAGACTAGTGAGATAGTTGACAAGACTGGACAGTTGCAGAGATTAGTGAGATAGTTGACAAGACTGGGAAGTTGCAGTGACTAGTGAGATAGTTGACAAGACTGGGAAGTTGCAGAGACTAGTGAGATAGTTGACAAGACTGGGAAGGTGCAGTGACTAGTGAGATAGTTGACAAGACTGGACAGTTGCAGAGATTAGTGAGATAGTTGACAAGACTGGACAGTTGCAGTGACTTGTGAGATAGTTGACAAGACTGGACAGTTGCAGAGAGTAGTGAGATAGTTGACAAGACTGGTAAGTTGCAGTGACTTGTGGGATAGTTGACAAGACTGGGAAGTTGCAGAGATTAGTGATAGTTTGAAATGACCTTATAATTGCTGCTTGAGAAGTAAATACTATTGATATTGATATTGTATTCTGTGATACAAGAATTAATGAAAATCAATTTAATTCATCTTCAAATGTCATAAAAATATGAACCCTTACTTGTTTCACAAATAATACCAGTGTAACCAGGTGCACAGGTACAGGTATATTCAGATCCAACTTCATTGCATGTACCACCATTGACACAAGGATTAGGACCTTGGCAAGCAGTTAGAATCACTGCAATCAAATAAAAATATAATATTTGTTTACAATGAATTAATTAGCAATTGCGAATTGGTTGTACACTCATGATAATGTCAAACATAACAAATATCACAATTCCAATGTGCAATTATTGTGTTGCTTTCATTTAAATATTCAAATGATTAACAAAAGATTAATTAATGACAGGTTCAAATAAAGTTTGTTTTTGCACAAAAGTTATTAAAACAAATTTAATAAAGAAATAACATTTGCAGGAAAACACAAAATGAATGTGAATAATTCAATATCATGATACATTCATCTCAGAACAAAATTGGCTGAGGATTGAATGTCCCCAAGAAATACACAGACAGGTTCCTATTTTGAGGACTGATAATTATAATAACTACACATTTATACTCACATGTTTCACAGTATTGCCCAGCATATCCATCACTACATATACATGAATATTCGTTTTCTTGTGGTACACATGTAGCCCCATTTGCACACAAATTATTCTCACATGTGTCCAAATCTTAAAAACAAAATGAAAACTTTTAACAATGTGCAATAAGGTTACAAGTATTATAAATTATTAAGCAAGTAATGACACAAATAGTCCCGATATGTTTTCATTATAAGATTGTGAGACAATATTAATAGCATATTCATGTTTTAAATTATTAAAGACAGCAAGATTGAGATTTCATGACTATAAGCACATCAAGGGACTGAATAATTAACATTGGGGTATCCACAAGTCACTTTTTTGAATCAGCTGGTCGTGTTAAAATTCATTGGCCTTTTTGGGTGATAAGACCACCTTTAATTAAAGAGTACAATTACCTATTGGATTTTCACATATGGGACCAGTCCAGTCAGTTGCACAGACACAGGTGAATTCAGCTGCAGTGTCTCCAGTTTCACAAGTACCACCGTTCATACATGGAACCCCCGTACAACCAACTGTGTAGAGATGTGTAGAGATACTTAAAGTTCAAAATATATAAGGACATGAAAGTGCCAGTCCTTGCTGACACCATGCAATGCTTGCTATGTGTCCATGCACGCATATTTCAAATATACAATATACGATGCCTATACATGACACAATCAATTTCACAATGCAGTTAGCTGTTGCTGAAATTAGCAAAGTACAATTGTATAATGTTTGATACATTTGCTATATTGATCATATCTCACCTGCTATGTCGTTATCCATCACTTCGATCATAAAACCTTTCTCGGTTTTCTCATGATCACTTTCAAA